CATAACTCGGCCTAAAATTAAAATATAATAAAAAGCCTATGAGATGCACTCGGTAATAATCTTGCCTTTAATTTTTATAATAGGTCAATTCACTCTAAATTTTAAAATAACRGAGATAAACGKGATCYKCTGAGYGTAAAATTTGCTATGCTACGCACTTGTACGWSGAAGACAACACATGCGGGTGTGGCGTCCTCTTAAGTTATTATTATTGTTGGCCCAGAGTTAGATATAGGTACCAAAAAATTAAATCAAAATATTATGCGTTTATTCCCAGCATTATGAGCCCCTATTAAAAATATGTAATCATTCATTGAAATTGTCCATTAAACTAAAACGATTTTACTATTCGGATATGAGTCAATTAAAACAAAATCTTGGTAACTTATTATTATTACTGTATAATATACTAAAATAATAAATTAATCATGAGTTGAAAATTACTTTTATAAATGTTGAAAAAGTATTTTGCGCATACAGGCCAACACTCAAAACCATGTGCTGGTTAAATTTTAACTCGGCTATACAGTTCGACTATTTTAATCTTTTAATAGTAATACATGTCGACGTTTTCTGTTTATTTTAAATACTGAACTTTACTATAATGTGTAATGTGTATTAGAGTAAAAATGTTTATAAAAAAAAAACGCGACAAACAATTTTAGATTAATTCAAAAAAAATTTCATGTTTTTAAAGAAATTTTTGAGGTGATGTTTTTTTTATAAGATAAGGGGGAGTTCTTGGATCGTATATGGGTTTATAATATTAACTATTATTCTTAATACACTGTGTAAGAGTAGAAAATGTAAATTATGGCAAATATGACAATCCTGTGCTTTTTCCCGATAATAATAAAATTCGGTTCATTGGAATTCAACGATCGTTTTTCAAAAGACTACTGCTTATAACTACTATTGACTTTGATTTCAATAATTCAATATAATTTAATTGTTAAATATTGTTTCGAGTACATCTTTTTCATTATCGTGCGTTTAATACAATGGCGATATGGAAAAACGGGACAAAAACAATCCCTTTCTAAGAGTTAGTTGTGACAAGGGATAACACTGTGTTAAAAGGGACGCATGGTACTGTGTACTAAAATAGGATGCATATTGCATGGGGTTGATTAAATATTTGAATTGTTTGAATTTGTGCGTCGTATATTATTATTACTCAGTATTGTCGCCACAACTCTCATTCATTTCCTTAAAATTATGTTTATTCGGTATAATATTGACTCAAATCAATTGAAACCTTTTAATGTTTTGTTTTTTCCTCTACAGCAGAAAAGGAGATCGCGGATTTATTTTGTATCTCGAAACTCAATATATCTGACAATACGGAATGTAAATTGAAATATCAACGGTTATAATGGCACGACAACTGCAATCAGTAAGATTCAAAACAACTACTTTTTAAATTAAATAGGTACAAAATGTACTTATTTTAGATAGGTCATAGGTAAAGGTAAACTTATTATTGTAATAATGTAATAAGACCGATATAAGGCGAATGATGTACTTTTCTCGATTATTGGATTGTGGATGTGTTAGCCTGCATGCAGGTTGCTTTGCATTATTATAGGTGTGCGATTAAAAATATGC